GTTGATCCTATGTACAACAGAACAAAACACTTTCGGTCCTGGGCCATCTTGACAATCATTGATATGTTTGAGCCTTTTGTGGTAACCACTGCGTCAACCCACTTGTTGAAGATCTTCCTCTTTTTTGTGCATCTTCGGCTTTACCAAGCATGATGTCTTTCTCCAGGGACTGGTCCCCTCCTGATAATATGTGTAAAATTTAGGAGACAAAGTCTCACCACCCTCACCTCTAAGAAACATTCTGGCTGGTTTTCTTCCAAAACAGATTTGTTCATTCTTCTAGCAGCCCATGATAGATTTATTCAATATTCTTTGCCAACATCATCATTCAAAGACATCAATTCATTTCTGTGATCTTCCTTTTTCACTGTCCAGCTTGCACATGCATGCAAGGAGATTGAAAAGACCATGACTTGGGTCAGGCACAACTAAGTCTTCAAAGTGATATCTTTGCTTCTTAACACTTTTTTAAGATCTGTAAAGACCACCAGCTTGGAAGCCCTAAGGGGCAGCTCTACTCTGCGTGTCAGGCGGATGTGAATTGAAATCTATTCTAACTGCAAAAGTTTTGCTTTGAGTCCCAGATAAGGAAGTGTAAGGGAGGGAGGGGCACAGTTCCTGAAGTTTCTCATAGTAACAACTGCAAATTAAACATAGTTCCCTGCAAGCTTGTATCTCTTGTAGCCACTTGTTTTAACAATTGTAGTTTAAGGTCTCTGAGGGATTACTTCCAAACCAGCTTGTCTCTCCTCCCTTGTGTGTCCCTTTCCTTGGAGTGTTGTTGTTGTTGTTAAGTGCCGTTGAGTGGGTTCCGACCCATAGCGACCCTGTACAGGGTTTCCGAGGGTGTAAATCTTTACGGGAGTAGAAAGCCTCATCTTTCACCTGCGGAGTGGCTGGTAGTTTCGAACCGCTGACTTTAAGGTTCGCAGCCCAATTCGTAACCAAGTGGTCAGGAAAGTTGAGTGAATCTTAAAACTATCTGCAGAAGTCAAGCCACTGGTTGCTGACCCCACCCCCAAAGTTTCTAAGTTGTTGTTAAGTGCTGTTGAGTCAGTTCCAACTCATAGCCACCCTGTATAGGGTTTCCAAGGAGCAGCTGGTGAGTTTGAACCATTGACTTGTGAAGTTCAAACCAACCTTGCAGTCCAGCGCATTAACCTGCAGGGCTACACCTAGGGGTTTGATGAGGGAGTACTGTGGCTCCTTAAAATAAGCACTAGGCTACAAACCACAAGGTCAGAGATTCAAGCCTACCAACTGCTCCATGGAAGAAAGGTGAGACTTTCTGCTCCTGCAAAGATTAAAAATTAATAAATGAAAGTCCCAGAAACCCTATACAGGGTCACTATGAGTCAGAACCTACTTGATGGCACTTAACAACAGGGTTTGACAATTTCAGTCTTTTCTTTGTTACTCAGGATGCTACTTGGTTTTTTTTTTGTTTTGTTGTTGTTGTTGTTGTTGTTAAGTGCCATCGAGTCGGGTCCGACCCATAGCGACCCTGTACAGGGTTTCCGAGGGTGTAAATCTTTACGGGAGTAGAAAGCCTCATCTTTCTCCTGCGGAGCGGCTGGTAGTTTCGAACCGCTGACCCTAAGGTTCGCAGCCCGATTCGTAACCACTACGCTACCAGATTATCAACAACAGGCATAGGGTGGGGCCCAAATTTTCATTTCAAACAAAGTTCCCAGTTGATGCAAACTCTGCTGGTAACAGGATCACTTAGATCCACTTTCATCCAATTATAGGAATTATGTATTTTTTTTTAAGTGTTACCCACTTCTAATATTGCTGTTTATTGCTACAGCATGATTTCCAATTTTATTTCCCCCTAAGGAGCTCTGGTAGCATAGTGCTTACGAGTTGGGCTGCCAACCTCAAGGTCAGCAGTTTGAAACTACCAGCGGTTCTATGGGAGAAAGATGAGGCATTCTGTTCCTGTAAAGATTTATAGCCTCAGAAACCCTGTGCAGGGTCACTGTGAGTTGGAACCGACTCCACGATACTTAACAACAACAACAGTGAGGTCTATCTTAGATTTAAAAAACCCAGTGTTATGGTTTTTGGCAGAACATAACCCACAAAGACAATGTTCTATATCCTACTTTGGTGAATTAACTTTGGAATCTTAAAAGCTCATGAGTGGCCACCTAAGATACAATTATTGGTATCTTTCTGTCTGGAGGAAAGACAAGTGATAAAAACGTGAAGACGCTTGGAAATAATTAGTCCAATGGAACAATGGATCACGTGACCATCAGTCTCCACAACCCTGAGACCAGAAGAACTAGATGGTGCCCAGCTACCACTACCAACTGCTCAGAAAAGAGTATTATAAGGTCCTGGCCGGAGGTGGGAGAAATGTGGAATGAAATATACAAAATCATTAATAATAATAATAATAAAGACCAAGCTTACTGGTCAGAGATTTGTGGAACCCTGAGACTGGCCCTTGGTCACCCTCCAGATCTAGATGTAAACTCACCCCCTGTAGCTTCATCTCAGTCAAACTATAGATAGGTATGCTATTTAGTCGGTTCTGACGTCTAACGATCCGGTATAGGGATTCCATGGGTTTGAACCACCAACCTTGCAGTTATCTGTCCAGTGCTTATCCTACAGCACCACACTGGGACTCCAGATAGGTAGATGTTGTTGTTAGGTGCTGCTGAGTCTGTTCCAACTCATAGCAACCTTGTGCACAACAGTAAGAATCACTGCCCGGTCCAGTACCATCCTCACAATCGTGGTGTCGCTTGAGTCCATTGCTGCTGCCACTGTGCCATTTCATTAAGGCTCTTCGTCCTTTTCACTGACCCTCCACTTTACCAAGCATGATGACAAAAATACTAGTGAGGTACACACACCATAGCCTATTCAACCATTTGAGAGCAAAAGGGCATCATTTACCCAATGACAAAATTTCAGAAGGATCCGGGAAGAAGGAGGTCCAATGGAAACAAGAAACTGTGGGAGGAAATGGGATGCATGATGTTCCATGGAGGGGACTGCAGTCATTGAGATGAAGCAAAGAGTGTGATTTGTTGAATATAAAACTGATGATCTGGTGTATAAACCTTCACTCAATTCACAATAAAAAGTTTTAAAAAGCACAGTATTACCATGGATGTCTTTTTCATAGTTTTACTCAGGATTTACTTTTATTCCGAGATGAATTTTTTTTCAGCGCTGTTTTTACAGCGTGTGGTTTCTGACAGCGCCACATGATAAACACTTGGCTGATATTGCAAGAGAAAACAAAACAAACACACACAATTGTCATTGCTGTAGAGTGACCTGATGCATGGCAGACCATGCGTTCCTGGGTAGAACTGCCCCATGGTGTTTCCTCAGCTGTGGGTTTTTACAGAAGCAGAGTCCCAAACCTTTCTTCTGTGGTGTCATTGGATAGGTTCAAATTGCCCAATTTTGGATTAGTTATTGTTGCTATTAAATGCCAGATTCCACTCATAGAGACCCTGGATAGTAGGCGTGGGGAAGCTTTTTTCTGCTAAAATTTATAACATCATTCTTGGGCCATACAAAATTATCCATTTAAAAATTAACCTGCTCCATTTGGTCACTTTAAAGAGGTGACCAAAGTGACCTCTTTAAAGAGTTGAAGAGCAAAGATGTCAGCTTGAAGACTAAGGTGCGCCATGGTATTTTCAATAACCTCATATGCATGCAAAAGTCAGATAGTGAATAAGGAAGACCCTAGAAGAATTGATGCATTTGAATTATAGTGTTGGAGGGAAATATTATAAGTCCCATGGACTGCCAAAAGAACAAATAGATCTGTGTTGGAAGAAGTACATCCAGAGTGCTCCTTGGAAGCCAGGATGGCCAGACTTTGCCTCTCATACTTCGGACATATTATCAAGAGGGACCAGTCTCTGAGAAGGCCATCATGTTTGGTAAAGTGGAGGGTCCGAGAAAAAGAGGAAGACGTCCAATGAGATGGATTGGCACAGTGGTAGCTGCAATGGGCTAAGCATAGCAGTGATTGTGAGGTTGACCCAGGACCGGGCAGTGTTTCATTCTGTTGTGCATAGGGTTGCTTTGAGTCCGTACGGATTCAAACAACAACATATTTGGTCAAACATTTAATTAACTCAAACATAATTGGTGGCTGGAATATTGGTGTGGCACTGTGGGTTCATGTGCTGGACTGCAAAGTAGGTTTGAACCCCAAGGTCAAGAGTTCAGGCTCAAACAGCTGCTCCTTGGATACCCTATACAGGGTCCCTGTGGGTTGGAAATGACTCGACAGCACTTAACAACAATTTGATGGCTGGAACTGTCGTTGCCTTGGCAGGGCCAAACCGAACGATTTTGAGGGCCAGAGGTTCCCCATCCCTGCTTTATAGGGTTTCCAAGGCTTTAAATCTTTTGCGAGAGCAGCAAGTCTCATCTTTCTCCCACGGAGTGGATGGTGAGCTTGAACTACTGACTGTGTGGTTTGCAGTCGAGTGCATATTGTAGTTCACTGCAAAATGTTTGCGCCACCTAGGGACCTTACAAAAACAGAAATGGTGGGCAAACCCAAAACAAATGAAAAAGCTCAAACCAACCCAATTTTAACTATAAGAAGGAATTTTAAATTGCACAATTATTCCCAAATTACAGGCAGAGTTCTAAGGTGGGAGAGACAGGTGGTTTATACAAGACCCTGTAAAAGGCTGTTAGTGTTGTTGTTAGGTGCCGTCGACTTGGTTCCTGCTCATAGCAACTCTGCATAGGGTTTCCGAGGAGTAAGCTGGTGGGTATGAACTGTGACTTTGTGGTTTGCAGTCCAGTGCTGATACTATTTCCACCACAAAAATACTGTTTACAGCGGCCCAGGTTTGTCACAAAGACCCAAGATTGGAAACTTGATCTTCTGATCCAGAAACCAGAGCTCAATCCATCATACTGCACCACGCGGCCAGGAAACAAACAAACAAAATGTCCCAGGGCTCCTTCCCGGGAGTCGAACTCATAATTCCAATCTCCGGATGCAGAGACGCTTCGGTCAGGAGACAGCGCCCCCTACAGGCTTCAGTGCGCAGGCGCAGCTTGCCTGTCCCCGCCCCCGCCCCCCTCCACGTGCGGCGCACACCTCGCGCTCCCCGCCCCGGGGCTCGCCTCGCACCTCCCTCCCTCCCTCCTCCCGCCCCTCCATCTCGGGCCTCCCATTGGCTGTCGGCTTCGTCCCTCCGACCGCAGCTCGGCTAGCCCCCGCCAAGTCGGAAGTTCCGCCCGACGCTTGCCCGTCTGCGCCGCTGAGTGGTCGACAAGGCCGTCCGTCGAGGCGGCGGGCCCGAGTCGGCGGCGGGGGCCCGCGGTCGGTGCGCGACCCGGGCTGGCG